ATTCAAGCGATTTAGTTTATCGATACGCATTATTTCCAGCCTGCGAGTAAATCAAAAGCCAAGGTCACGAAAGCGACATGCAAGTTCCAGGCCAACCAACTGATGCATTTCAAAACGAATAATACGCAATAAACTTATTTATTTCATCTCTCTACGACTGTCTGACTATGTGCAGACATTGTTACAACGTATGAAACTCTCCTCATTGGTATTGTAACGGTTAGTTCTACCTGGCAACAGTTTTCAGTTCCGAAGCGTTTATGCTTACACCCTAAGTGCCCTCGCCGGAATTGTTCAAGCAATTTTAACTAAAATATATTAAAATTGCATTTTAAGTTACAATCGATCTTCGTGAAACGCATAAAATTAAAAATTTTATTTTGATTTTAGTTAAAATCTATTTTAGTGATTTAGTTTAAGTGTTTGTGAAACAGGGCCCAGCTGAGGTTCGATCGACATATAGGCATAAAGGTGAAAAAGCTAACTCGATGTTCGCACTATTAAGAAGAATATTTCAACATCTAGATGAAAAGTCATTCATACCTCTCTACAAGACCCTAGTACGGACTCACCTTGACTATGCTAGTTCTGTATGGTTCCTATATAAGTCTAAACATATAGAAATGATAGAGGGAGTTCAGAGGAGGGCAACAAAACAGATTCCAGGATTGTCAAACCTCACATATGAAGAACGACTAAGAAGATTAAAGCTACCAACACTAAAATATAGACGACATCGAAGAGATATGATAGAAGTATTTACGATTGTAAGTGGCAAAAACGACCCTCAAGCTTCAAATTTCATCGAATTGCGTAAAGACCACGTAAACAGAGATCAAGGAAGGGGGAACTCAAAGAAACTACTTGCACAGAGAACGAAATCGAATATCAGGAAGTACAGTTTCAGTGTGAGATCAGCAAACCTGTGGAATAGTCTTCCAGACTATTGGAATGCACAAGATGCGTTATATGATTATAAAGCTGAAATTAAGACCGAAACCGGAAGTCATACAAACAGTAGAATTTAATTAAATAGTGAGGAGTCCGACGAAGAGGACCTAACAGGACCACACTGATCCGCAGTGAATATTTGCTAGGACGCTACAATCACTGATAAGGATGACATCGATGCGGCTTAATGAGCCAGAAATATTAACTTTTTTCCTGCGACAAATTAAATTCTAAAACATTTTTTTTATGTATTGGAAAAATAAATAAAGGCGTTTGACGTATTTGTAGGTAAAAATTATTTCCTATTTAGTGTAAATGGGTATTAAAATGACTAAAATGCAGCATTCTCTCCGAAGCAGTAACGTCTTATGTAAACAATGCACGCGCCATTCAGCCAATGATTGACGCCGCGTGCTGTGACAGCACGTGTTATGGCAGTCATCTTTGACAGAGATATATCACTAGTCTCGTAATTCTCTGTGAAACAGACTGTGTTGGAAAATCACCATAAGTAAGTAAGTAAAGTAAGTAATAATTAGACATTATTAATAATAATAAATTGTCTTATATAGCGCTACATTATGTTCACTGGTCATTCCTAAGACCTTCACAATGCGGTTAACTACTGTTCTAGAACAAATATTTGGTAAACAGGTGTGTCTTTAGTGTTGACTTAAAACTTGAAATTAATAGAGATGTCATGCGGATTTGTCGAGAAAGCTTATCCCATAAATATGGTATTTCAAATACAATTTATTAGATTTGGGAACCTAAAGCGATGTCTTATCTGCTGAAGATCGATCGCAAGTTTTGTCGCAAAGGAGGAGTACATGAAAAACGTTTTCGCATATACTGTGGTGCAGTATATAAATATGAGAGAGAGACTAACATATGTTCGGGACTAACATACGGTTTAATTTTATTTACATAATTCGCTTGCGCGTAGGGGTTTTAGCAGTGGGAGGAAACTGGAGGACCCGGAGAACACCCACGAGGTTGGACAGGCGACCCTACTCCTTGCCACGTACAACCGGGGATTCGAAACCACGCCAGTCGACTCAATGACAGACTTGCCACGTACAACCGGGGATTCGAAACCACGCCAGACGACTCAATGACAGACTTTATGATACAGCGCGCGCACGCTAACCATTCAGCCATCTACCCCCCCTATATAAAAATGACTTTATAGATTGTTTTTAGAATTGTATAATCAGTTCTAGCTTCAATGGATTGCATAAGTTTATTGGTGATGTGATCCGACATTCTAGATCGAATGACTAAACCAGCTGCGTTATTTTGAGAAACTTGGAGACATTTTAAACAATACTTTGGAGCTCCTGCTAGTAATCCATTTGCATAATCTGAGATTTTGGAACATTTTGGATACACAACCAAACATTTATTTTTTTTTTTCATCATTTTTTATTTCAGTTTGTTGACAGACATCCATAGGTCTGAGAGTGTTTCTCCGATTATTATTTGCTGTGGGATATATTCTATTTACGGTATCTATTTTTTAACTATTATAGCGAAAACAGTCAACTCTTTATCTGATCTCCCATAATGTATCTTTAAATCTAGCAAGACCAACCAAATTCCACAATTTCGATCTAAAGAAGTATCAATGTCCGATTTTATTTTGAGTACAGTCTCTGTGCAGTGACCTACCTTATTTGCAGATTGTAGAGGTTCATGAAGATTATTTATATTTAGATATGCTGTGATCTGACTGTTGGACCACAACCTGCTAAAGAATAGTAAATTAGAAACCGGTCTATAGTTCTTGACCAAGACTAGGTTTCTTTAATAGTGGTAGTACTAATGCACGTTTCAAAGATGTAGGCAGTGTTGCTGATAACAAGGAAGTATTTATAATCATCTGATTGTTTATGTTTTGCAGTGTGGACGTCGGACCCCCCTCCACACTTCTTGTCAGCGCGATAGAGGCCTAAGTTTTATCGAAATTTTCTAAAACTCCCAGGAAACGTGGGTTATGACAGGACGCGAACCCTTATTAAATTGGGTGTCTGACATGTAGGTATTTGCGGGGTGAGTTTAACTATCTCTATTATTATCGCGACTCGTATTCGACGTAGTATATATGTTTTGGCACCCCAATATAGTGAAGTCAGGAAAAAAGCGAGACAGCCCTGTTTATAATCTATGCTTGCGCTAGGATACAATTGTATTATAATCCACCCAGGTGGAAGGACGTTAAATATTCTGGCAACCGGGAGGGCACTGTCGACCTCCAGGCTAGAGAGCCAGCGTCTTACTCACATAGCCATCGTGGCTCCCTTTACTATAGCGGTCAGAGTTTCTAATCCCACTCTTTCGCGAATTAAGAGTCACCAGTGTTCGACCCAAACTGATCAGCGGTGAATATTTGCTAGGTCGCTACAATCACTGAACGCGTAGACATCGGTGCGAGTTAATTAGCTCACAACATTGGATGCAGCTATGGCGGGTGTGGCGCCAGGCAGGGTAAGCTTACTCTTTCGGACACCTGTTAACACTGATTGTCGTGTATTTTGTACACGGTGAACAGTCCATTTGCTGATTACACTATTTTGCCTATACCGTTTTTTAGGACTTCGAATTTTGTCTAATGGTTTGGATTGTTCGTACTTGGTTTTATTTTATTTTCCTAGAAATTGAATTCTTTAAATACATTTTTTTTGAAGAATTGGAAAAATAAATAAAGTTTTTTGAAGTATCTGGATATACAAAAAAGTACGTGAACGCGTAAAATAAGTAAAAGGCACCATTCTGCCCGGACGAGTTGACGTTGGGAGTTACTAGGCCCTATAGTATAAAAACAATGCATGCGCTAACAACGCCAATTTAACGTCACACGTAGAATGCATGCAGAAGAGGCCTTTCGCATTACCTCTCTGAAACAGATTGCGTTTGAACAAGGATCAGGAAGAAGCCCATGAAAGTGATTGCGGGTTATTGCTTTGGGTCAGTATTGATCACGAGGCAGACGCATTTTCACACCTCAGCTAAAAGAAACACATTATGTAAATATATATATATATATAGCTGTAGTGAGTTGTTGTTCTAATGTACAGTATCATATATCATAGTATAAAATATAAAAATAACACCGATTTGCTTCTACATGTTTCAATATATTTTCATCAGTATCAATGACTTCCTGATGAAAATATATTGAAACATGTAGAAGCAAATCGGTGTTATTTTTATATTTTATACTATGATATATATATATATATATATATATATATATATTGCTTCCAGAGAGTGGGTGAATAATCAATAAACGCAGAACAATTATAAATTTGAATTCTCAATCTGTTTCTTTTTACAAAAAAAATCTATTCTCGCCAAAAACGCGATGAATTCAGTCATGGACGTAATTAGAAGGCCTAATGTTTTGTTAATGAAATATTTTATAACATATTGCCCCTTTTTTCTGTTTGGGATGTCATGGGCTATATTAGAGAATTCAACGACCCGTGTAATTTCGGGATGAAACAACGTTACCTCTCCCACTTGGCCACAGTTCACTAAAGATTTGTCCATATAATGTTAATTCTCGTCTCTTAGACCAGCTCTAACCTTTTCCCCAAATTTTCGTTGGGTAGAACGCTTTCTGCCACAGACGGAGCAACATGTGGCAAACTCTTGCCCAAAAGCATGTATGAATTCACCATGAAAAACTTGCGATACACAAGCTGGAAGTAGAGACAAGTAAACATGCAATTTTTGGCCCCACATTATTCAACCTAACCAATCTCTCAGCTCTTAATTTTATTGTATCCTTCCGCCTCAAAATCGTGAATATTCACCAAAACCTGGCAGAAAATGTATTTTCAAACCATTTTCTTCCCTACACCAAAAAGTCAACAAAAATCTCCATACAAAAGGGGGAAAAAGGAAAGGGAGAGAAAGACTATAATATTTCAGTAACGTACCGAAATATTTGGTGATCTGTGTCCACTTGAAATAAGTCTTGACAATCGAAGATAAAAGTGTTACCTCCCTTGTATCATAATAATTTATACTTCCGGTTCCGAGGCTGGTAATGTGATAATGACAACATTGTACACGTTGCTAATTTTGTTCGATGAATAATTTAATGAGTTAACACATTGTATTTATAAAACCTGTAGGTGAAATGGGCAGAAGGCTCAGTTGACACGTTGAGAAACACCAATATCCAAAATGGGAGTCGGAGATAGTCGAAACCCTCCTCAAACGATCGATCAACTGTCTCAACAACAGCAACAAGATCCTAATGCACCATCATGGTGGTACAAAATTCTACTTAAAGCGGCAGGTGTGATAGGTGGAATAGGTAACACTCGTTTGTTTAGTACTACTACATCGTACAGTACAGTATACAATCATCAAATCTGTGTACATGTTCTGTGTTTTATATTGTGCGTAAGTTGTAACCTTACATACATAGATGTCTGTGTAGTGTAGGCCTATTTTAATTTAGTTCAAAATTGGTGTATTATTTAAATGTATGCCTAAATCTTGATGTCATAGTACGGGTGGATCGGGTACCATTGAGCAAGAACACCTTTGTGCAATGTTTCAGGGGATATTTGGTGCTAAAATCATACCTAAATTAGTAATAATAAGCAATATTGACTCTTCAGCATCTGATCAAATGCAGTGTTGACATAGACTTCTTACAATAGATGTTAATTGAAGCATGCTTTAATACGTAGTTGCTCTTTTCAACATGTACAGCCACAAGAAAAGGGCAAAAAACGTTTATAATTTTCTCCAACCCATAATGGAATTCATAGAAAATTATACAAATAAATTACATAATTTGTTTTGTTTTCAGTTGCTATGATAACTGGTCTTGTATCATGTATAACATTAACTGCTAAATGTTTAATAGCTGGTGTATTTTTAATGTAAGTTTTTTTATATGAGTTTAAGGATGGCTTAATGTAATTAATAACATTACCGTTACTTTTAAAATGTAATCATTACAAAACTTCCTCATTTTTAGCAATCTAATTCATTACTATTACCCATTACTTTATGACTGTATAAACAAAAACATTTTTGTGAACATTAAAAAAACCAACTTATTTTTCTGCCATGAAGCAATCAATGCAATCTTGCTATAATAGATATTTCTGTATGAATTGTTATTTCTATGAAATATTACATTTAGACAAAGGTAAATTTTCAAGGGAGAGGCAGTGCATGACAAATCCATTTTATCTGGTTTTGTGTAATTAGATAAATTTATAAGCAATCCAAATAGTTACTCTAACAACTGGGAAATTATTCAGCATGACATAAATTTTGAGATACTCGAATGCCATTGTTTGGTTTGCCACTTGTCACCTTGCCTTGAGATTAACCTGTAATAGGACTATCTAATTGTCTTTTAATGAAATTGTACACAAGGAGATAAAGATCTTCTTAGAAGAAATTTTGTTTTTAAAATTAATAAATATCATTAGTGTCCATTAAGATGTTGACAACAAGTGGTAATGGTCATTGTAGGTAGAATGATTCTCTGATACTTTTCATGACAGCCAAATAATTTTTTTTTTTCAAGTTTCATTCACAACATTTTTGTTTAATCTATGTTTATTGTAGCATTTGACCAGTATATGTTTTCATTTATTTATTTATTACAGCTGCTTTGGAGCATTTGTTGTAATGTTCGAAGCACCATGTTGCTGTCCATGGATAGAATTTATAAACCAAATTACTGCTTTTTCTGAACGCAGACCAGCATGGCAAAAAGCAATTTTTTATGGAGCGTAAGTTTAAGGTTATTTATGTAGATTTTTAAAGACTACATAAAGTAAACCCATACAAATGATTGATAAGAGCTTGAAAATCTTGTTTTTTGATACACAAACAGCAAACTTTACTCTACTAAATTGATTCTTAATTAATTTGAGATATATTTGGCCCTACCCAAGATGACAATTTTGCCAGTTACTTAAAACACACTATTCTCTTGTTTTCATTGTTTCATGAGAGTTAAACCTGTGCATAATTCACATGCCATAAAATATATATACATTCATAGTTTGTTATTGAATCATAAAGACCATATTAACAGTTGGGGATTACAAATATTATAGCCTTGCAAGGGATTATGGAATCTACAACTGTTTACCATATTTTAATAGGGGGTCACAGTGGGTCAATGAGTAAGGCGTTGGCCGAGAAAGTTCATTGAAATTTTCTGGCATGGTTCCCCCTTGTCAGCGGTGCAAGACGAGGGCCTGGCAATGCACAACGTATAGTCATTCGGATGTGACGGAAATCTTAGGCCCCTGTTACACATTGGTGTGCATAAAAAAGATCCCTTGGCAGGTGGAATGCAACAAAAGAGTAGGCCATAATGCCATTTCATTTCATATTTTAATGTATACAAAATACCTGTAGTAATTAAATCTTTATTTTTGAACAGGCCATCTTTTATTCCATTAATATTGTGTTTTGGTCTAACAACATTTTTTGGTGTTGCATTGATTTTTGTGACAGCAGCTCTGTATGGTTTGCAGGCCCTTGGTAGAAAGTAAGTGCATTTAAATATTTTACCTGGAATCAGTTTGAAATTGACTTTGTTTCTTTATGTAAAGTTGAATAAAGTATCTTGGAGTGAATTTTGGAATTCAGATTTACAGCACAAGTTTATCTTTATAAGGATTCAAGGGACATAACTTCATGTTGATTGTGAATTTGTATGTATCACATTTTGGTTGAGAAAAGCTAGTGTGTTTGATTGAAGTTGTGTGACAAATGAAATGAAATGGGTTTTTAGGTCCTACTGTTCTGCTCCGACTTGGCTAATGAAGTGTGCTATGGGAGAAATTTTGCCCAGAGAGCTGCGATATAGCCTATTCTTATATTGAATTCTAACTGCCAAGGGATCTTTCATGCGAATGCCAATAAGTATAAGAAACCTTTTTTTTGTCCCATCTGAATGATGAGACAGCTGTCCTTGTCAGGCCCTTCATTATTCACCACTGACAAGGGGAAACCACACTGGAACCACAGAAGAACTTTCTGAGCCAGTGTCTTACTCAGTTAGGCACTGTGAATTCAAGAGTCTTTATAATGAGTCTTATAATCTTGCAACTTTTGAGCATCATATTCAAGCGAGTATTTTATAATAAGGACGTTTCATACATGTATTTTAACAATAAAGGTTCGAAGTAGATAACTAATTAGATTCACTAACATGTACTGGACCATATACCCCTATTGACCAGCCGCCGCCCCCCCCCCTCCCCAATCCCCTCAAAACAAAGGACTAAGTATTGTTCTAGAGACAAATCCCAGCACGAAAAAACCCAATCTGATTAAAACACAGATCCTATTTTGTTTCGTTTTTTATAGTTCAAAATTTGAATTCACTTGTCTTTACTACACTAGGATCTGGCTGATGTGAGGGATTAGCCAATGAAATGGTCTGTTGCAGTGAGTTCTTGGTGTGCGATGCACGGAACTGTGGGTATCCTACTAGAAACACCAACATGGATTGGTTAATCAAATGTCTGACGTGAGTGATGTCATAGGGTCAAAAACCACTCGTTCATGTACATGTATGACCCCTGATGCGACCTCTCACTAAAACTGGTCAGATCTTCATGCATCAGAAATATAATGAAACGAAATATAGATCTGTATTTTAATCAGATTGGAAAAAAACTACTAAAATGCTAAACAACTAATTTTCTCAAAATTTTACTTTTTCCAGAGCCGATCGTCAGACCATGATAGCCAATGCTTCAAAACGTGATGACGTAGAAATGAAAGAAACTTTAATAGAAAATGAAGTACATCCTGATCTACATGTACCTTCCAAATAGAATTCTAGACCATATAATACATAATATAAACCTTCCATCTGTCAAAAAAAGATAGACAAGAAAAAACAACTCTAATAGACTTATGTAGGCTATAGACAGTGTAGCGGTGCATATTTTAGTAAACAAGGTGTTATAAACTGTTGTGCTGTAGTGAATTGTTGGAATAGCAGAATTGTGATTATGCCCAGAAAGGATAAAAACATAAGAAAACTGAATATAAACAAAAAAAAAAATTGTTTTGAAACATTGAAGAAACAAAAATGAGAGAATGATCTTAGAGTATACCTGCATGTGGGCTGTTTTGTGGTCAGTGTCAATGGCAAGAGTGTGTAGCTTAAATAGATGTATTTATCAGTATTTTCATTATTGGTGTTACAATTAAACATTAATTGCAAAGAAATGGATGTATATAATTAATTGTTGTTTAGCTTAATCCATCCTTACTTTATTGGTAATGACATAGATATCTATTGTCTGGAGTATATGGTAAAAAGATCTGAAACAAGTGATATTTGAAAACAATTTTCAAATGGATTTCAAAAGCTCTCTTTTGGTATGTGGTACTATGAAAAATTAGAGGAAAGTTGACGATTTTTATATTGAGTTTTGTAGCTGATCTTCAAACCTCCCCAAACTTCTGCTCTTTATACATGTATCACTTCTAAACCAGCGAGTCCCATAAATATTTTAACGTCTTTAAATAGTTCAGAGCTATTCATGTTACTTGGTCTTTGGGATGCTAAAGGGATCAGTAGTTTCAGGCAGGGTTAAAGTTTGGATCATCCAGTTTATAAATGGTCATAGGGCTTTTAAACCAATCAGTTTTTTAGCTAACTACATGTACATGTATATATCCACAAGACTGTGACAATCATAAAGAGAACCTTCTCTCAGATATAGAACAATGTTGTGATTTTATTCTTATAGTATAGTGGGTGCAATATAATATGAAACCTGAGTATCAGAACTTTTGAATAGCATATCATTAAATTGTAGTTGATATTATTGTAGTTCTTCCATTTTTGGGGTAACGCATTGAGGTAGTTAATATATTTAGATTATATTATTACGGTATAAATTGTGTTATTTTGTAAAGAGTTCTGTCTCACTATTATACATGTAGTAATGTACCGGTACATGGGATTTATTTATAAAGTAGGTGATCGCTAGTAATTTGTAATGTGCTATTATGTGAATATGATACAAGTCATGTTTGTTAGTGTGTGCTATACATATAATAGTGCTTGTTTAGAATAAATCATTCTATTAATAGATATCAGCTGAGATATTCCAAATAAAAAAGTGATTGATCTTCTTTGATATTAGTTTAAATTGAGTTATCTCCTTTAGACCCAAAGATACTGTGAATTTTAACTGGAACATATAATATATACATGTATATCCTTCGATCAAATATACAACACAGTCCTTTGATTTAAATTTTTACATTTTTTTGAATAAGTTTTGATTTTTATTATTTTGATATCTGAAATGAAACTTTAATAACCATATTTCAAGAAGTATAAAAAATAAAATCAAGGAACCAAACCAATATGGAAGTACATGTATGTGTAGTAACAGCATTCAGATTTCAGGTCATAGACTTGATCTAGTTTTCAAAAGTTAGAGGATTATAATACTTATTAAAGAGAGCTGGCTGTTTCATATAGCCTATGATTACCATATACAGAATTATTTAGCTATTAAGAATTATAAGTTTTGCATAATCAGTTTTTTAAAGTTATGTTTAACCATATTATACATGTAATGAGATTAATGTTTTTAAATGACTGTTATACTTTCAGCATGTACATGTAATTATCATTATGTGATCCTGCGATCTTCAGATTGTACTTAAAATTTTATTCTAGTAGCAAATTAAACTCTGTAATCTTCTTCAGTCAGTCAAGTTAATTACTATGTGTATTTACGATACATACATGTATACAAATTTAAGTGAATTTTAGTGAAAATAATATTGTAATTTCAAAGTTTCATGCCATTAAAATTAATTGTTTTGCATTTTGTAAATCACCCCAAGTCTTCTTTCTTAATACTAACATTTTGATTGTACATGTATGTTATTTTAAATATATTTATGTGGGTACTGTTTTTATTTAATTTTGATTTGTATAAATTATCTGGTTTATTTTTTTATTATTTATTGGGAATACTACACTTTATCATTCATTTAATGTCCAGATTTGTAAAATCCATGACAAAATAACTATATTCATGAGTTCATTCGTGTTTATTTTTCATTAAATATAACTCTATACATGTAGGTCCAGAACTAATCTCTTGTTGTTTGATACCCAGTTTTTAATCTGTGGGTTAAATCCACATTTAACCATTTTTATATGCCCACATTGAAATGTGGTCGTATATTGTTGTCGCCCCCGGCGGTCCGGCGTAAGTTAATATCGGATTGACTTTAAATTTATGCACAGTGTTTAAGGTCATGAGACGAAGAAGCCTATTGATTTTCAGCGATTTCCAATAATTACTGCCAGTGTTATGGCCCTTGATCACTTCAAAAAATTTTGTGAACACTCTAAAGGCTAAAGTTAATATCCGATTGTTTTTAAATTTATACACAGTGTTTAGGGTCATGAGATGAAGTCTATTCATTTTCAGTGATTTTTGATATTTACTGCCAGAGTTATGGCCCTTGATCACTTTGAAAAATCTTGTGGACGCTCTAGAGGCTAAAGTCAATATCTGATTGACTTTAAATTTACACACAGTGTTTAAGGTCATGAGAAAAAGAAGTCTATTCATTTTCAGTGATTTTCGATAATTACTGTCACAGTTATGGCCCTTGATCACTTTGAAAAATCTTGTGACGTTCTAGAGGCTAAAGTTATCATCCGATTGACTTCAGATTGATACACAGAGTTTAAGAGCTTGAGACGAACAAGTATATTGATTTTCAATGAATTTTTATGACTTGAACAGCTAAATCCATGATATTAAAAGTTTTGTATACTAAAGTTAGCATGGGGCAGAACTTTATAAAAACCAAACAAATTCTAATGGTTTTCTGATAATTACTTCATGAGTTGTTACTCTTAATCAGATTGTAGTGTATTATAAATGTTTCATTACCGAAAGAAGTAAAAATGTGAGACAACACTTGTTGACTGCCCAGATGATTTAGCTGCTTTGGGCGTATGTTTCGTTGCCTGGCAACCTATCTTTTCTTATATTATATGAAAAGGTAAAATGATTCAAAGAGATCAAATCTCATAGTTTTAGTTTAAATGCCTGGGATTACTCATATAAAATTTAATTATTTACTAGGATTATAAATAACAAAACTAACTGTTAACGTATTATTTTAATTTATTTGTTGGCTTTTTATATTTAATGTACATGTAATATCTTGTTATAAAATACCACCATTCCCAAAACATCAGAACAATACAAAATTTTATATTTGCTAAATGTTTGCCCAAATTATACCCTTTTAAACCATTGTCATTTGGTCATTGGGGATGCTGTTTCATTTTAACTCCCTCTCTGCAGCGCCCAAACACACACACAATGGACTTCTGAATTATTGTATGGAGAGCAGTTTTATTGTAAACTAATAGTGGCCAGTACCAGATCACTTTATTGTTAAATTAAGACATCTCTTAATATTATTAATGTAGATTTCATTATTATTATTATTGATATTAGGTTATTTTATGTGAGATATTTATATGAACGATACTAAAATAAATGGTGATATTGAAAATGGATTTATATAGGCCCACATTTTCATGTAGATGTATATTGTCGTCGCCGTCCGTCCGTGTGTCCGTCGGTTCACATTTGCTTGTGGACACTCTACAGGTCACAATTTTTATCCGATTTTGACGATACTTGAAATATATGTCTATCTCCAATAGATCTCCGTTCCTTTCGATATTGGAATGTATCGGACCATAACTTCATGGATTATGGCCCCTGATTGTACGAAAAATCACGTTTTTAGATTGTGGTCCTTCTAAAGGTCACAATTATTATCCGATTTAAAAAAAACCATTCGAATATATTACCGTTACACCGTAATGTCAGTTGAGTTTAAATGTCGTGCAAATCGGACCAAAACTGTCGGACAAAATGGCCGCCCCTCGTACACAAATAGTGTAAACATTTGGTATATCAAGGTTGCGGGCCCTCTAGAGGTCACAATTTTGATCCGATTTTGACGAAACTTGAAATACATGTTTATAACCCAAAGATCTGGGTTCCTGTAGATATTCTCGCATATCGGATTGAAACTTCCTGAATTATGGTCCTTGATAAAATCGCTATTGATTTTAGCTTGTTCTCTATCCATCTCTTGCAAAATGTGGGCATATCTTGCCACAGAACAGTGTAGTGAAAATTCCGTGTTACAGAATTTATTCCATTCGTACTATAATTTGCATTAAATATTCACAGAAATGTATTCCAGATGCAAGAATTGTAAAATTTGTGGAAGTCAGTAGGGCACCTTTATTACTTCAGCAATAATCCCAGTGCTTGTTTTTGTATTTCCCATGATAAAGGATCATACTATAATAAGAAAGCCTATAACTACCATTCATAATATCTACTTTTCGCCTCTTCAGAACACGAAAGTCGAAAAGTAGAAGTTACGACAAAATGTGAGGCGACAACAACTTCCTAGGCGAAAAGTAGAAAAGTCGAAAAGTCGACAGTACAACAGATCATAGGTCGCTAATAGCGCAGTGTGTTAATTTCCTAATTTCTACTTTTCGAGTTACATTTTGGCTTGTATAGCGTGTTGGCGCCTTCTTACTGACATCAATAAATACAAAAATATGACTAAGTCGAAAGTTGACAAGACGGTATACAAGCCAAAATGCAAGTCGAAAAGTAGAAATTAAGAAAAAAACGGGGGGCGCTATTATCGCTGTGTGTTATTTCTTAATTTCCTATTTTCGAGTTGATTTTGGCTTTTATACCGTATTGTCGCCTCACATTTTGTCGTAACTTCTACTTTTCGACTTTCGTGTTCTGAAGAGGCGAAAAGTAGAAATTATGAATGGTAGTTATAGGCTTCCATACTATAACACTAATTTGTCATTTTGTATGTATAGACTTGGACAACCTATAAGGTGGGGGAAGGACTGCTAAATTTTTTATGAACAGTGTGATCAAACCCCGAAAATGCTATCTAGCACAAAAAGATCGGTGGAAAATTGCAACCTATATATAGCTCAGAAAATTTCTGTAACAGTGGACGGTGCAAAAGCATCTAAACATCTTTCTTCCAACTGGCAGACTACCTATATATACTATTCAAAAAAAGTAGGGGATATTTGATTTTTAAGTGTTATTAAAGTCACCTAATGAAACTGACGAAGAAACAAATGACAAAATGAAATGAAGTTCACATTCATCGATTTATTCCAAATGATCGTTAGACTAAGTAAGGCACAGACTGACCATTATAAGGGTAAAATGATACCCGGGGTCAAACAGCAAAGTTACCACAGCATCACAACCAAGTCAGTAACGGGTAAATCCTCCTCTGTTTGCCAAACAAGCATTGATCCGACGTGGCATACTCCTAATGAGACGTCTAAGGTCATTTTGGTCCAGATTGTCCCATTCCTGTTGCAACGCAGCAGCAAGTTCTTGGACATTGGCAGGACGTTGTTGACGTTGACGTAACCTCTGTCCAAGCATGTCCCAGACATGCTCGATGGGAGAGAGGTCGGGACTCAGTGCTGGCCAAGGTAATGTGGTGATGTTCTGTTGTTGGAGGTAACCTGTAACGATCCTGGCCCTGTGACATCTTGCGTTGTCATCCTGGAAGATGAAACGGCGGCCATGACGTCGTGCGAACGGCACAAAATGGACTGCCAAGATGTTGTCCCGGTAGTACTGGCCTGTAACACGCCCTGCAACAACATGTAAAGCCGTTCTTCCAGCAACAGTGATGCCTCCTCACACCATAACAGAACCACCCCCAAATCGATCATGTCTGATGACGTTAACGTCTTGGAAGCGCTCGTTTCGACGACGCCACACCCTCCTACGTCTGTCCAAAAAATCAACAGTGAACCTTGACTCATCTGAAAACATCACATTGCTCCAGCGTCGATTATCCCAGTGTTGACGATCCCTACACCAACGACGTCTTGCCTGAATGTGATGATCTCTCTAACAAGGGATCACGCGAGGACGTCGGGCGCGAAGGTGACCCCTATGCAGTCGATTCCGAATCGTCTGGCCACTCACTCTCACACCAGTGTCTGTTTGAAGACGAGCGCTGATCTGATTTGCTGTGATGACACGATTTCTCAAGGCCAAGGTACGGATAAATCGATCCTGGGCTTGAGTTGTCGCCCTTGGTCGACCTGAGCGTGGTCTGTCCTGTACAGATTGTGTATCACGGTATCTGGACCATAGCCTGCTTATGACAGACTGAGAAACATTCATCGTCCGCGCCACAACCGCCTGTGTTGTGCCGATCTGTAGCATGCCAAGGGCACGTAACCTTTCATTTTGGGTAAGCCGACGCATTTCAAAATTTGTTTTCTGGTCACTAAAACAATTAAACTGATGTTTCCACCCTGGAATTCAATGCCACAATGACTGTAACATTCAAAGTCAGAGTCGTGCAAATCTTGGGTTGGACCCCCATGATGATCCCAAGCATCACCTGCATTCCATGCGGTAGCTATTGGTGCGTTTGGGCGTCACATGTAACTGGAAATGTTTCTTCTGTTAGGTTCTATAGTGACTTTTTTCGTAGTCATTTGCATATTTTAGTATTATGCCCCCAAAATCAAATATCCCCTACTTTTTTTGAATAGTATATATAGTAGTCAGAACAAAATGTGGGTGGCGGACAGATGCGACGGCCATGTCCACGTGAAGCAATATTTTATGATTTTGTTCTTGATCTAAAAGTAAATAAAGACCTATAAATGCATAGATGAACAGCATCTGTAACTTCATTACAACAGAAGAAAACAATAGTTTCACCAGTTATAATATGATTAAACTTAATTTACATAGCAAAATTGACAAGATATCGTAACATAGAAATTGTCAGTCATTTATTTTCTCAACGATGTTCGAACTGTTCCTAAATCATTCCACATGTGTGTATGATAGTCTTTATATAAAGTCATGTTTTTCCAGGAGAATTTTTGTTCATCCACATAGTTTACACCAGGATACCATATACCAAGCTTCTTGTGGCTGGAAATGGTTGGACGGCGCATTCTCTCTACAATAGCTTTGGTACGGTCTATAGGCAGTTTATTTTGACTTGAATTTACTATGGCAACGTGATTTAACGTTAAGGGAATCTGGCCGCCATGATGGAGGTACTGTCCTGGCTGAGTTGAGGTCTGTTTCTTTTCTCCGTTCATACTGGTTTTGCGTTGATTCAGCTTTACAGAATTACTAATTACGTTGTGACCAGATCTGAAGCATATAAAGAATGGGTTCTGGGTTATATATTTTATAGAACATGCACCTATTAAACAGTGAACTGGTGTCTAAAAGTACGATTTCCCATTACAAATTACAAACACGAAATGTGATCAAAAGCTGAGATCTTACATTGATGGTAGTAGTCGTGACCGACCAATTGACTATTCGAAGAAAAATAACAAAATGCGTCTGTTAAACATACATTATGCAAGAGCTAAATCTGCCTATTACAGGTCTTTCTTTAGGCCTGAAATGTTATCTAAATTATTAATTAGACATTAATTAATTTATCCAGACCATAATCAACTCGCGATGTCATCGCTAGCCTGCGATGTTTATTGGATTAGGTTCCGATTTGCTGTTTGACTTCCATTTTTTATTTAATCATGAAATGGATAATCGAGACTATGTTTTTATCGTAATCACTAAAATCTTGGTTCAGAGTGGATCAATTTGACTGACATTTTCGGCAAATTCCCTTTAAATTATCTAGTTTTTAACTATTATAGTGATAGCTGTCAGCTCTTTATCTAATCTCCCATAATGTATCTTTAAATTCTGATATTCATTAAATGCGTTCAACGTTTACTTTATTATCCATCGCTGAACGAAGTTAGGGAGGGATAATGAAATGGAGTCCGTCCGTCCCGATTTCGTGTCCGGAGCATATCTCATAAACCACTCAAGATATCTTTCTGAAACTTTGTACACACATCATCCTATTAGAGTAGTTAAGCCATTTGCTAATAGAAATCTGTCGGATTTGGATGATTTTTGAATTTTTACTACACATTTGAATTAATTTTTGATATATAAATATTCTAGAGCATATCTCAGAAGCTGTTCAAGATTCCTTTATAACACATTTACATTCATCAACCTATTATTTTATTTTCTGATGACCGTCTTCCTCTCCCGATTTCATTTCCGGAGCATATTTCCCTATCCGTTCAAAAAATCTTTTTGAAACCTTATACAAACATCAAACTATTATAGTATTTTATTTTCTGTTAAAACATACAGCAGCTGATTGGGGTAGGCAAAGGTCGTTGTGCAAACCTTACAGGGAGTACATGTAGCAACCCTGCCTTGTCGAGCTACTATGATCAGAGTATGAATCTTCTGACTAGTCCCATTGATATTCCAAGAAGTTGTTTTTCCTTATGTCTCCCAAACAAGTGAAAAAATACGAACATGACATAATTTCTGTCAGTATTTTGTAAAATCTAATATCGATGTTGTCCTTCTATTCTAGACGAGCATACACCATGTGGGAATCCTTTACGTGAACGC